CCGAGACAATACGCCTACTCCATTAGAGGGCAGCTCCGGTGGTACATTTCACAGAGTCATCATCGCACCTTATAGCAGACTAAACCTGTGTTACGCCTACACTGAAAACTCATTCACCGCTTCCCTGCAGGGACTCAGATGTGGCTGGTTGCGGATTCCCCTCCTCAAAGTCATATATGGTGCCCTCTGATGGACACATATTACAGATTCATTTGAAAGGTGGATATTCGGGATCTTATAGGCTGCAGGCTCAATCTACTTTATAGGACACAAGGCTCACATTTCCATCATCAGATGTTAGAATAGCTGCTGCCTCTCACCTCTGCGCCTGCTTTCTATTCCCATCTCCCGTCTAAATGAAAAGGTGTGATGGGAAAGCAAAAGGGGCACTGCCTTCAAATTACCTTTATTCTTCACCTGAGAGGCCACAGTGACAAATGCAGGCAGCACAGTTCACTCCAGCACACTGACATATATTACATTACACTACACTACACTCTCCCTCTGGATTCACCCAGGAGGCATTAATCTATAAAATGGACTACAATAACCGTCATGCATATTGACCAGAGGGGGCGAGTGGCTGGGCAAACAAGGTTATATGGACATAATAATTAAAATCTCGGTTGTAGAGCTATAGGTCGGGTCAGCAGCTGGTTTATCTCTCCGTGTTTAGCCTATCAGAGGATCAGCTTCCCGTTTGACAAGTCGGCTGAGAGAAGGGGATCTATTTCTTTATAGAATTCAACTCATTTTGGCATTACAATGGTGAGATATAAACGCATATGGGGAAGCCAGAAAGGGCTTTCCAATGTCATTTGTGGCTGCTATTACACAGCCTGTTTAGTCAAACGCTGCCTCGATCGTGGGGGGGCCGGGGGGGGGGGGGGGGGGGGGGGGGAAGTAGGCAGAAATAAAATGAATAATAATAAAATAAACCAACGTGCGAGTGTGTGTTCGGCCTACCTGTTTGCGATTGACTGTCTTCAGCGGGTTGCCTGTGTTTGCAAAGATCATCCTGGAGGTTATGGATATATATTTGTTATTTCCCAAAAAGAAAATCGCAACGAGGAGCCACTAGAGACGGAATCCAAGGCGGTGTACGGAGCCTACGAAATAGCCAGTCGGTTTAAAACATCCGCATGCTGAACGGGCTGGTTAACATTAAAAAGAAGAGCCTCGGTCCTGCACAGGTATACTGACACATCTATACAGTCAGATGCACGCCAGGCGATGGACCAACCCTTCGGTCCGGTTCATTGATCTACGACGTCCTGCTGCAGACCGCTCGGCAGTCCCACCTACTACAGACCAAACCATCTCCGCCTCCGCGGGGTGTTTGACATCAAATAAACTGCGTGGCCGCCTCTTGCGAACTCGCCTCGGCGGTTTGTTTTTTGTGACAAAGGCACGTCGAGACGTCTGGTGTCTGCGGCTCGGTTTATAATCGGATACAAAGTGCTTTTGGGTTTCATTTGTAGCCGCACAATCAGTTGGGCTGAACACTCGGCGCCTTTCATGTTGTTGTCGTCCGCACATACCAAGCATTCTTCACCCCCACCTCCTCCAACCACACGCACACACACACACCCTCTTCCTCTTCCTACCCTTCCCCCCATTCAACACACTCACTACATGTTAGAGAATCAGGATGCAATGAAATATAAGCTGGGTCTGGCCTGGGCTGGAGGTCACACACTCTCCCTATGTAAAACCAAATATGGGAGGGAGTGCATTGAAAGACAAGAACACAGAGCAAATATTAGGGGAAAAAAGGCATTCATTAAAAATGTTTACTCCTATCTTTAGTGTCCTGTAGGCTCATTATAGTAGCCTATACTGTATGTAGATCATGTGACATAAAGTAGAAACAAAATATTGACTCCATCAATCAAGAGAACCATTAATATTTTCCCTTTTAATGCATTCACAAGATTGATCTGCTTATATGCAGTTTGTAAAAATGTGAACTAAGCATTTTCACATATCACACACAAATAACTCCCTCCACTGACTGATGGGGAAAAAACTATGGCTTCATAGCTTCTGGTCAAATGTTTATACTGCTTTTCAGAATTGGTTTTAAGATGCAATGGTTTTCCGTTGGTGCTTCAAAATAAGCTGTTCATCTTTCTAGATTTTTGATCTTCTAGATTTTTGATCTCCTGCGTTTGACCTCTGAGACCCTTTAGGTTCATCAGACACAGGCTTAAATAAAGCTTTTAGTTGTTGCACTCTGGTGGAGGAACAGCCCCTCTCATTACACCAGGTCCACCCCTTCAATAGAATCAATCAGAGGTCATTTCAGCCCAGCTCTTTTCTCTACCCACTGCCTGTGCTCAAGCCAGAGTCCTCATGTCTGTTTCTTAGTAATTCTTATCATATGTTGAGCCAGAGCTACCGCTGAGGTCATGTCTTCTGAATTTTTTCTGGGAATTGAGGGAGAGAACCAGGAGGAAGTTTTTGTTCTTCACGGCTTGATATACTTACATTTAAAGACAAAATAAAATAAAATAAAATAAAATAAAATAAAATGAAATGAAATGAAATGAAATGAAATGAAATGAAATAAAAATAAAATGACATGACATGACATGACATGACATTACATTAAATTACATTAAATAAAATAACCACGGACTTTGCATTACAGTGTTCGTGTCTAAACCACTATGAACTATTATTTTTTTAAAGTGAACCAATTGGTAGAGATGCAGCAGAGCCACTTCAATCTTATAGCTACACAGGCACACATGTGGCCCCAGAGATAACTATAGGTGCACATTTCCCTCTCAATATTTTATAATTAAAGTAATTTTATATTCACATATACAGTACACTGAAGTGCACAAAGCAATGCTTACCACTAGCAGTGATGCTGCTGGAGATTTATAAAGCAAAGCTGAATCCAAATCCCATCAGGGTGCAAGGAAGCTCTTAAAGCATCACATTTCTCTCCCTTATTTCCTCGGCTGGTAGGATTAAGGTGTCATGCTGGTGTCGTGTTACAAGCTACATGTGATGGTCTTTGAAAAGTCCAATCATTCCTATCTGAACAATCAGCTCCAATAATGTTTGTAGAGATGATTCCCTGTGCTTTTTGTTACCCTGTTTGGTAGTTATTGATTGGTTAACCCATTAGATCCAATATGTTGTTGCCCTTTTGGTGACATGGGACATTTCATACAGTATTTAAATGTAAATAAACTATATTTCACATATTAAAGCTGTATATTTCACATATTTTTGCATTGCACTTTTAACCTACTTTGTTTCAAATTAATTGAATAACCAATGGGTCAATTGATCTGAAGTCTGGCTCATTTATCCATCTATCCATTGTTTCTCTGACTAATTTTTCAGGAAGGCGTCTCCCTGTTTGGAGCAACAAAATGAATCGGTTTCAAAAACAACAGACATTAGATAAAAACTGAAGTCACTGAAATTAGAGACCATATAATAATGTATACCTTACTAATGTAGGTTTACTCAGTCTGTATCTTAAAGGCCATAGTAACTAGAGTTAAGCTCATTACAAGGAAGCACATCCTGGTTACGACCGCTGAGTGTAGTGAATTGTGTCGAGGTAGCAAGAGGTCCTGTGGGTGTGGTGAAGGAGGGACCGAGGAATGCGGATGATTATCTCCCTCTTCCTCATTCACTGAGGAATTAAGGAATTCCTGTTGATGACCTGTCTGGCCAGGCAGTGTGGTAACCAGTAACATGTCGGGTGAGATTGCACGAGTTGTCTGGCAGGATTGGGAGTTGTTGTCTGGCTGGAATACATGAAACCCAACAAAGGAGCTTTTTCAAAAGTCGAGTGATGTTGTGGTTTAGCTCAGAGTTTGTGACTCCTTAGGGAATAATGAAATGCTTGCATGTTGAAATATGAGAAACCACTCAAACTTCACAGCTATTTGCATTATTTTTAGTATTGAAATATAGATGCTGTATATTTCATCAGTGCTGTTTTTTTCTACGTTTAGTAAGTGCTAGAAGACGAAGTCAGGGTTTACGTTCAATTCAATTTGAAAATGTATTGCTTATTACTTCAAATGAAAGACTTAAATATCCCAATTACATGTAATGTTAGTTTTAAGTCTCCTGTCTTAGAAATAAAGTGATGCACCTATATAATTTCAAAATGCAAGCATGTTATATGTAGCAGATATATAATGTATATGTACAGTGTTAAAACATGTTTCAATCTTAATTCAGACATACTCTTAATAGCAGATACAATTATTAAATAATGTTTGATCGAAATTTGTAAATAAGCAGCCATAAACCCCAACAAAGAGAACAACCGAAAGAGAAACTCTGGATTTTGTCTTTTCCAGAAATATTGTATTTAGTTTTATCTACAATGTAAAAGCATTTTTTACTTATAAACCATCATTGATTTAAAATATTCCTAATGTTAAAATTTCTGATGTTTCACAGCTCAATGAAATTAAACTGTGCTTAAAAACTTACACATTTAAATCTCCTATTTGCAGATGAATGGAGAACATAGAATAAGGTGCCTAGACCAAGTATATACAATGTCAGAAAGTATTATAAAACAGATTTTATAATAATACATTTAGTAGGTCTACGTAGTTATTCATTCTTCTAATCAATTTAAAATATTATTTTTTAATTATGTAAGCTTATCAAATATATCATTTTTACATTTAAAAAAAGTACAAGCTGTATAATCAGTAATAAGAACATATTTATTATCAGTAGCAGTGGTAACAGTAGCAGCAGTGGCAGCAGAAGTGTAAAATGTACTGATTGTGGCGCACCCTTGTGTCTCGGTTGTGCAGGTGCAAAAAGTCTGGCGACAACAAAATACGTCATTTGTGCGACGGAAGCAGTTTTTCGAAAAAAAGAAAAGAAAAGACAATTCTGGCTGATTCATTGTAGCCAGTTGCACTGACTCGACTGATCTCCAGAAATACAGACTTTTCTAAACACCCGAAATATTTGACAGCAGGTAAGTGAACTTACAGCTTTAACACCTTCAGTGGCTTTCATAAAACACGGTGAGATATAATCAGCGTTCAGACTTTGTTGCTGTTTTGCTTGTGCGGGATGACAGAGGCTAAGCGTGAGCAAGCTAACAGCAAGCTAACGCCTTTAGTAACGTTGGATGTTGCTGTTAATGAACCGATCGGTTTAACGACACATGTATTATACATTCCCCTGTTGTTTTTTGTTACTTAAACACGATACTTCGATTAAAAAAATTAAATGCGTGGTTCAACTTTTTGTGATGTGTGTGCGTGATTATAGCTAAATTCGCTAACTGAAGCTAACTAGCGAGTTGGTGCTAACTTCAGTTTTATTTTGGATTTCTTTGGCTACTCAAATAACGTTACACCCGTATTGTCCTAAATTGAAGTCAACAACGTCGGGGCCAATATAAAAGACAGAAGACATAACACAAATAAAATAGAGACAATGTAACTCCCAATATACTAAGTCATAATTCCATCACTTTTTGATTTAACGTTGATTGAACGCTAGCTATTAAACCCAAACATGACCTAATGTCCTCCAGGTTTATACCCGCGGACATGCTTTGCTGTCTGATGGATGTTTCATGTATAAGTCCACGCCTTATGCCATTTGTATTTTTTGTTAGTGAACTTGTCCGAATTAATGAACTTTATAAAGGACTTACTATTAAATGTATCCCTCTAATGGTAAAGCTGTTTTTATAGTCACGCATCATTGTGTTTGCTCATCAGATCTCGCTATGGACCGGCTGCTGAGGCTCGGAGGTGGAATGCCAGGGCTTGGCCAGGTAACGCAAAGTTTGAAATGTCTGTAAATAAAGAACATAAACAAATGTTTCTTATGGTTCATAACAAAACTACAGGCAGAAATGAAAATCCCTCCCAGATTCACCCATTGTTAACCTAAACCAAACCATTTTCAACTTTTATAGCCAAACATAACCTCTAAACTTACATTTATCAATGCTTATTTGTCTAAAATTATTAGATTCAATTTTAAAAGTAGTTGGACTAAACTGGAAAGCATTTTGCCCGTAACACTGGTAAGATCCTTGATTGAATCAATGTGCCCAGTATTCCATACTTATTAATGATTTAAATTTCAACTTAATTGATTAATTATCAGGAATGAGACGGAGGTAACTTTGCTTGAGTCCCAACGCAGTGTCACATCTTGACACACACACACCTCATATCAAGCCCAGAGTCTCAAAATAGTTTACCACAGGATTAAAGGATACAAAGTCATGATCCATGATATATTTCATGCATTCGAGTTCTAAACAATAGTTGAATTGTGGTGATTGATCTGCGTAACTACTGTATTAGAAAGGCTTGAACTGATGAGCTCTGCTTTGACTCCTCAGGGCCCCCCGACAGATGCACCTGCTGTGGACACAGCAGAGCAGGTTTACATCTCCTCTCTGGCCCTGCTCAAGGTAAACAAACATCATATGCACTAAACATTTTAGAGTGGTTATCTTCATATTTGCATTTAAAATAAATACGTCTGTGACTTATCTCTCTTTCTTGTATCTGCTCTTAGATGTTGAAGCACGGGCGCGCTGGTGTACCAATGGAGGTCATGGGATTGATGTTGGGAGAATTTGTTGATGACTACACAGTGCGAGTGATTGATGTGTTTGCCATGCCCCAGTCAGGAACAGTATGTATTTACCCTAATACCAAGATTATGCTCCCTATAACATAATTGATAAAGCTAATTTATCCTTGTTGTGATGTGTAGTAAATGCCTCGTATATATATGCTGATTTCAACAATTTTACAAGGAAGTATATATTGCTAATTCTTACTGAATGAACATTTTCTACCTCACAGGGTGTGAGTGTTGAAGCAGTGGACCCTGTGTTCCAGGCCAAGATGTTGGACATGCTGAAGCAGACCGGCAGGTAAAACTTACAGGTGTAATATTTAGGAAAAAAAACACGGTCACTGTTCGCCTACATTGTAGCGTAATTCCGGGAATGAGAAAGTTCCTTAAAACCTCACTTTGATGTTGAGATAAAACCATTTCTAGGTAATATCGAGATTTATTTTTGGGGCTACCCTCTAAACATGTGTGCCGTCTTTCTCAAATGTTGCTCATCAGACCAGAGATGGTGGTGGGGTGGTACCACAGTCACCCTGGTTTCGGCTGTTGGTTGTCTGGCGTGGACATCAACACACAGCAGAGCTTCGAGGCCCTGTCAGAGCGAGCCGTCGCGGTGGTGGTTGATCCTATTCAGAGCGTCAAAGGAAAGGTAAAGATGAATACCTGCTGCAGAAGAACCGTGTTACTCAGTAGCTTGCATTTTGGATGCGCTATACAACATTTTAGAAATGACTTACTGGTTTCATGTGCGGCCTCTGTCTCCTCCAGGTTGTTATTGATGCCTTCCGATTGATCAATGCCAACATGATGGTGTTGGGTCATGAACCAAGACAAACCACATCCAACCTGGGTCATCTCAACAAGCCCTCAATCCAGGTAACACATTGTACACAGCGCCATCACCGCTGTTCAAAGATCCAAAAAGGATCAAATCGCAATGAAGTAGTAGTAGTAGTTATAATTTTGGTTACTTTCTCTCAGCTGCTGATTATGCACGTTATGACTTCATATGTTTAATGTTAGGTTTCTCATGTTTTCAGGCTCTGATTCATGGTCTGAACAGACACTACTACTCCATCACCATCAATTACAGGAAAAACGAGCTGGAGCAGAAGGTTTGAGAATTCTCTTATCACAGATTTGTTTTCATTGATTTTATTGATGGAACTTATAAATACCACTCATTGTTCTTCAGATGCTGTTGAACCTGCACAAGAAGAGCTGGATGGAGGGCCTGACCCTGCAGGACTACAGCGTGCACTGCAAACTCAACGAGACCATCGTCAAGGAAATGCTGGAGCTGGCTAAGAACTACAATAAGGTGCACCTTCTGGACCTCGTCCAGTAATCTGAAACATTTTATTCATATTACTAGAAGGCTCACATGTTTATAGTACATTTGAGCTCTTTATTATGTCGAGGTAGCTGGCAAATATTTTTCCTGTCGGGCAGTGTTTCCTCCGTGTTATGAGTCATGAGGATTTTAATATTAGTAGCATCTCCTCCACCACATAACCATCTACAAACTTGTTAATTTCATCTGAAAGCTGTTGCTGTTTCGGAGCCGTGGCTCCCACCAGTGTTGTGGAGCTGTGCTGCTTAACGTTATCCCCCAGGCACAATTTTGCATTTCACTGGGATATTCTTGTAACAGATTACTTATTTGAAAATGTAACTAAATAACTGATTACTTGAATTGCAAACTAAAGTGTCACGTTACTCGTTCCAACAAAAACATAATCAGTCTTTAAAAACTCAAACTTAATACAGAGATTGAGTGATTTTGTTGGTTACACGCATGCTGCAGCTCCCTTATACAAGATTCTGAGGGTGTTGCGATGCCTCAAAATGATATACAGTATTTCTGCAGAGCAAAAACTACAAAAAGCATTACAAATGTATATGCATGGCATGCTCCTGGTGTGCTCCTCCGCATTATTAAGACACTGTCGTGTTTCCACCCCAGGCTGTTGAAGAGGAGGACAAAATGACCCCGGAGCAGCTGGCAATCAAGAATGTTGGAAAACAGGTAACAAAAACTCTTTTTTTTGGTAATATGACAAAAATCGAGGTGTGTTTGTTGATTACAGTTAAATAGGTCATTGAACGTGCGTCGGGTTGTGCAGACATGTTGGTACAAGCAGAGACTTTATGAAAGCAGAGATCGAGTTACTTTGTCATTTAAGTTTCCTGAAGTTTGTTGAAACCAAATATTTGGCAAAAAAGAAACCCCATCATCACAAAGCACGTCTCATTGTTGGCGTTTGTCTTAATATTCTGTCCTTCTTGCAGGATCCCAAGAGGCACTTGGAGGAGCACGTAGACGTTTTAATGACATCCAACATCGTTCAGTGCCTAGCTGCCATGTTGGATACCGTAGTTTTCCAGTGACGGGACTGTGTGCATAACTGTTAATACTGCAACCTTTCTTTTTCCTTTTATATAAAATAAATGTATGTATAAAAAAAGACTTCGGCGTGGGTGGTACCTTATTTTACTATCCAAGCAGAATGTTGTTTAATTCTGTCAGTGCACATAACCTTTTCTGTTTGAAACTAAATATTGTATTTCTACATTCTGTATTTTATTTTTCTCCTTTTTATATTTTAGACAAATGCATCATTAACCGATATTAGTTTTTTTTGTGTTTAGTGTTTTTGTGTTTAATCTGGACACAATTCTTCATTTAATTTGGTTTAACTTGGTTCTGAGTGAACCATGCAGGAAACCGTTTTAAACGGTGGAATAGAAGGCTGCATCAGTATCTCATCATATTGATATATTGCTGCAATACCCGTCGTACACACTAGATGGTGCAAGAGTTGCAGGTTACATGGACAAAAAGTAGAAGTAGTCGTCAAGATGGAATACATCAAATCACCGTAACCTTCTCGTTCTCAAACAGGCTTGTTCGTTTCATTTGAAGGTGATGTCACTTGGAAGTATTTATACAACGTTTCAGTCCGGAGATACAACTTTATAAACAAAAGACTTTTGGGGATTATTTAACAGTTTTGTGGTCTATCAGTTGGCCAGTTATACTTCAGTGGAAAATAACACTCACCCCTTTGCTAAAACCATGAACAACAACCTTCCACTGTAAACTGTTATTGCTCGACTTTGAAAGGACCGTTTGATGCTTATTCCTAAACTGTCTGTGTCTTAGAAAGTTGGGATTCCTTCCCCTTTATTTGGAACAAAGTTATTTCTAAGGAACAGGATGATGAGGGATGATAACCTGTTAGGAAAACAAAAAGCCAAGATCAGCATGGTTGACTTATTTCCTTTTTTTTCAGTGAAGTTGGCGTTAGTTTGACTGTAATGTACAGCAGACGGACGTCAAAGCTTTGATGTATATTAAAGTAGAAAGTAGGATGGCGAAGACATTAATTTGACGCATACTATATATTATCCTTTATTCTGGGTTTTGGTCTGAACCTGAAGTGCTGCACAAATGTTAAAAACCACCTGGGTGAACATGCTTTGAAGGAGATACCAGCCTCCAAAGAAGCAATTGCAGATGAGCAACAACAGTTAAGCAAGTGTTTTCTTGCGAGAGGAGTCTTGTTCTCGTAGTGGGAGCTGAGCCCAACAGCCAACATCTTTCTTATTTTACAGTTTGAAGGAAAAAAAAAAAAAGTCTCCATAATGAGTTCACAAAATGTGAGCCAGAGATGCAGCTCGTATTGCAGTAACTCCAGCGGCACCAGAGAACATGGAGCATATGGTCTATCTCCACCCTTCCCAGTATAAACTAACTGGACAGAGATTTACGACAGATGTGGCCCCCGGCCATTAAATAGACCTGAAGGGTCTTCAGATTACATCATCTTTTAGAATCTGTCCACCCCATACAGATGGAAATTGGCTTTCTCTTTGAGCACATTCTGAAAAATGTGAAAATGTAGGGTTGTGAAATGAAACACCTTTCCTAAGGCCATGTGGGAATGACAAAGTGGGGCCCTCCATAGTCCATAACGTAGATTTATAACCGAAAAGTTGAGAAATCATTTTTCATAAAAGGTGAAATTCCAAGATATACTATGTATGCTACAGCTGACCAGGTTGTATTAAAGTAGGTGTAAGTAAAGTTTGGTAAAGTAACCAAACGTGTTGTATACGTGTGGAGCCAATAGAAAAGTTTATGCGACACTAAAATGTATCTGAAGCTATATTTGTTGGGCTCAATGTGTAAGTTACAGTGCTGATGTCCTTGCAGTGAAGGTAGATAAAAAGGCAACATCGCATTGTTTCATATACAGCAATGGATGTTTTAGAGCTTACCTCCAAAAACCAGGAAGCTCTGGAAGGCCATGTAAAGCATTTCTGTTTGGACACAGAATGGTTTGTGCACTCGCGTGTCACCTTCCATTGTGTGTTTAAAGTGTTGAATCATCATGGAAGTATTTTCATTGCTGGCCGGTTGGAATCATGGAGACATTTTCAGACACGGTCTATACTGTTGGAAATGTCAGGAGATGTCTCACTGAGATTACAGGCTCAAATGAAAGCAGCATGCCTCCTGCATAGAAGCTGCACGGGACAGCAGCAACAACACAATGTTATCGGTCCGAGGCTGTGACAAGAGACTTCCCCTCAGAAAACACACAAGTCTAAACCAGCTTTTTTGTGTGTGCTGGGTCTCTTTCTGAAAGCAGGATAAGATACGCCTCCACTATGCTTTCTTCTCCTTACATGAGTCTGGAAGTTTGCTGCCACTCTATGGTTGTGAGTGCAAATATAGCCAGCTGATACTTTGACTGGAGACTCACTAATGCTTAAATCGTGGTCTTTCCTCCACCTGTACAAATATACCAGTTTCTTCTCCTGTTCATTGTATGGAGGTCCAAAGGAAAACAAATTCATCTCATGCTCCTTCGTAACACTCATTTTGGAAAGGAGTGTTTTGCTCCGTGCTTTCCTCTCGTGGTGAACCGCTTCCAAGCAGATGAGTTAAAGGGGGAGGCTGTAAACAAGAGAGGGGCTTTAATAAACGGCGATGCTGTTTGGTGTGGTTTAAGAGGACAGATCACTCCCATGAGGCCACGGCCAAGTACACAGCCCTCTGCCCCGCCTCAGTGGACGGGAGCCAGAGGATGACGGAGTTGAGAGGCTTATATTTTAAGTGCTTGTTCTCACAAATGAGCAGTCAGCAGTGTTAGAAAATGTGTGTTTGTGCTTGAAAGTCTGATTGTTGTGAAATGAGGCGAGGAGGCACAGTGGGCTTTCAAACAAAGCCTCATGAGGTTCAAAGTTCATTCTTGACATTGGAATCTTGACTTTGGAAACAGCTGTTGACAAAACAATCTACCTTCACGGTCCATGTATTAGCTGTTCTGGAGCTTTCGATCATATCACTGGATCTTCACCAGCAGCAGATCATGGTGTTTTTTGTAGTCGGTTGGCCTTTCCACCACTTTGGTCCGGACTGAAATATCTCGGCGACTAATGGATTGTTTGCCATGACATGTTTTGGACATTTAAGTTACTCAGAGGATGACTCTTACTGTCCTCGGTGATCCCCTGACTTTTCCTCTAGCGCCACCATGAGGTTATATTGCAAAGTGAAACGTATCAGTGACGGATGAATGGATTGTTATCACATTTGGTGCACACATTCATGCCCCTTCAGGACAAATTGTAACCATGGTTATCCTCTGACTTTTCATCACCATCGGGTAATTCTTAAAAAATGTGTCCAATACTTTGTTTCATGAGCTTGCAAAACCGAAAACATTGCCATCAGTCTCAGCTGTACTTTGTGTTTTCTGTTAATTAGCAAATGTTTGCATTCTAACATATCTGAACAAAGATGGCAAACATGTTTAACATCGCCACGTTAGTGTTGTCACCGTGAGCATGTTAGCATTTAAGTACAGGCCACAGAGCTGCTAACCTGGCTGTAAACTCTGTTTTGTTAAATCAACATGGATGAGAGGTATTTAAAATGCTCAGAAAAAAAGCACGGGAATGTGAACCTCTACATTTCCATGACAGATGGCAAACTACCTGGTAAAGAATATCATTTTATATGATTGAAAGCTCCAGAACAGCTGATAAACTGAACTTCAGGCAAGATTGTTTTGTGACCTTCTCTCTTTGTTCGACACACTGATTTGGGTGGAGGGAGTCTGCATACTGGGCTGCATACGTGAGAACGTGTGAGCATTTCTGCTGGTTCATCATTGCACATGTATGTGGATTTTTACATGTGTTTATGGTGAACTCCGCACATCTGGAGGAGCATCTCTTAGGGGTGATAAACAATCGATCCAGATCAGATTTCTCACCGTCTGCATGGAGCACTTTCTCCATCCCAACTGTATTTCACCTTTCCTCGGTGCCCATTAAATGTAACCAAGCAAAGTTAATGTGGACTGTTTGGGCATATTAGTGTAGCGCAATCTGCCAGACAGCTGTGTTATATCATCTGAGAGTTTGACTCCCCTCTTGTGCACCCTTTCCCATCAGTCAGAGTGCCCTTAACCTGCAGGATCTTCACTCTCCTAACACATCTGTTCAGCCACAGAATAAACAGATATGCACTCTCTGCTTTAGTTCAGCATGTTGCTGGAGGACGGTTCATATTTGCAGTGTTTTCTGGAAAATACTAACATTATACAACATGTGAAAAATGGTGCCTGCTACTGTAGGAGGGGGCATGACATCTGGGATATGTGGAATGTGGACTGTATTTGTACACAGCTCTGAACCAAACTCAGAACCAGATAGAGGACTGGGTTCATAGTTTTAACAATCATTATTCGTCTGCAGAACTAGCCAGCCACATAAAACGAAACACGTTTATGAAAGCATAAATGAATGGCAGAGATGACAAAGTAGTCATGCTGCCTCTAGCATGCCAGTACAACCACTGTTCCACGTCAGGAACATTTGTGATTTGACTGTATTTTGCTCCTTAAAAGGGGTGAATGGAAGCATGTGGATAAAATGGAGCCCTGTTACCAGGCAGAATTTATTATAAAGTATAGGTATGGCAGCAAGTGTGGAACAAATGAAAAGGAAGGTGTGTGTGGTCATGTGAAAAGGTTAAATACACATCACCAAGAAAAACATACATTTATATGAAAACGGTGCATCTAGGTGCTACACATTCCCTGGAGCTAATAAAGTAGTCCCTTGTTCCTTTTCCTCAATCAAGTTATGGGAGCCGCTGCTCTGTATTTAGCAAAGCAGAGAAAAAGGGAGTAAAAGTCACAGCACAGAAAGGATTCATAGATGCATTCTGTTCTCCGGACTCAAAGCTGGCCGCGGCCTCTGTCCTGCCAAAAAAGCAAACACAGTGCGTGATTGTTCTGTTTAATCATCTGTGTGTGCATCTGCACTAGTCGTCCGATTTGAGGACTAATATTGGACTTGAGCCAGTAAATCCGGTCCAGCATATTTAATAATTCATACAATTGGTGTCTCTGCAGCTGTATCAGTGAGATTCTTTATGTTTTCTGAGCAAATGTTGCTATTGCTTTTCAGATCCCTTGTTTTCTTCCGACTTGCGTGTTGAAAGATTGATAAAGGTATTAGAAGTGGTCGGAGGTGAATCAGGCTCTACAGACGTTAGTTTGATGCAGCAGTGTGGATGGGGAACTCTTTGTCCTCTGGATTGTGTCAAACTGTGTTAAATTGCTGATTCCTGGGAAAAGGAAACACTGACTAACACTCCATTTGTTTTCAGTCATGTGCTAAGGAGCTCTGGCTCTGCAGGGAAGGCCAGTGGCCAAAATTCAAAGCTGTGGCCCAAAGGGGAGTCTACCGACGTACCATTTCTTATAATTATGTGAAGTCATCTCTCATATTTGCCCTCTTTGTCCATGTTATGCAAGAAAGCCATATGCTTCCAATCCGCGGGAGAATGTCGAGAGGAAATAAGCACAAGAATTTACGAGAACGTCTTATCTTCCTCGGCCCAGATAAACATATCGGGGAACAGCCTGCCCCCCTGAGTGTTTGTTTGAAGGTGACTTGAGATATTGGGAAGACGAATGATGGAAGGGAAGAATGTGATAGTGAACCAGTAAACAAGCGCTGTCTGTGGCTGTCCATGTAATTTAAGCATCGGTGGTGATTCATTTCTTAATGTTTTTATCACTAAGCAAGAATTTTTTAGAGGCAGAGAAGATTTATCACAATAAATGAGCTCACTTTGTCCCCCCAGAGAGTTGTTGTTTTGTGCTTTGTGGTGTGTGTCCTTGTGTGGGGCATCAACACACTGTTTT